AAACCTCGGCTCTTTCTCGGCCCCAACCCTGGCCACTCAGTAGAAGTCGGGCGAAGGTGGGGGCGGACTGGTGGCGCAGTGGTTAGCGAGTGGGAGCTCGGTTAAAGGTTGGAAACAATCCCAAGGTCCCCGGTTCGATCCCGGGCCAGCCGTTCCCTTTTTTTTACATCACCAACTCTTTCCCCTCCTCTCGTCCATCTTATTGTCGTGTTCCGTATTTTCAGGACACAGCTCACCTGAAACCCCTCTCTTGTAAGTATATCGGGCTAAGTACTTTTCTGCTTATTTATAAGAATCTATTATTTTCCACAACTGAGCTCCAGAGCTGTAATTACTGATAATAGTCCCACTAGCATCAAAGCGGGCTGGTGGCGCAGCGGTTAGCGCAGGGGATTGCAGCTAGCACCTGGAAAGGTCAAAAACACACATAATCCCAAGGTCCCCGGTTCAATTCCGGGTCAGCCCTTCTTCTCTTTTTTTTTCACAACATCACCAACTCTTTTGCTACTTCATCCATTCCTTTTCTTTCATCTTTTATCGTGTTTCTCGCAGTCGTTTATCGCTTAAAACAAGAGCTGGAAAACAGGCCGACTCGCATCTCCCCGGGCCGGTGGCGTAGTGGTTATCGCAGGCGATTGCAGATCGCAAGGTGCCCAGTTCGATTCTGGGTCGGCCCTGACTTCTATCTCTTTTTTGCTCTCTTTTTATTACCTGTAGTAGCTGTTTATTTGCTATCTTTTTTATACATGGTAGCTCCTCAGTTTTCAATCTGTTCATTACTCAAGTTGCTCTTCGCGCTTCGTTTCTTACTAAGAAAATGCCAAGACCCCATTACTCAGCTTCGGATGACTAAGCAAATTCTTCTCTCGCAAAGAAATATTTCATGAGACCTGAAGGAGAAAAGAGAATAAAGGCATAACGAAGAGCTGTTTGCTGAATTGATCAATGAGAGTCGCAAGTTCATTTCGCCCAGCATGGATTCAGCTGTGCAGAACTCCAATCCGGCCGAGAATACAGCCAAAGTCGACCCTCCTGCAGCTCAGGACACTGTCGCAGAACAGCCCGCCTCCGACCGGAAGATGGACGGCAGCCCAGCTGGAAGAGGTGGCCGAAATAAACACAAAGATATGGGAAGGAAAGCATACAGGTAGGTAATTGCTGTCTGTTTTCCCTTCTTCGTTTGCTTTTAGCTAGGCAGGGTACCAACTAACCAAGGCAGGAATAAAAACATAGATAGGCGGGCGGCGAACGACCAGCAGGAGTCGAAGCGGAGGAAGATAGAAGAAGGGGACAGCCCGATGCCGATTTACGCCACTCAATTCTCGCAGGAAGATATCGATGCTGATGTCCGTCGGCCGAAGAAGAAGGTTGTTGTCATGCTAGGTTATTCTGGCACCGGGTATCATGGAATGCAGCTGTAAGATACTACTACCATCCTTCTAACTCGTTGTTCTAAAGCTGACAGTCAATTCCACAGATGCCCTACTGAGGAAACAATTGAAGGCGACCTCTTTGCCGCCTTCGTCGCAGCAGGCGCAATCTCAAAGGCCAACGCAGTGGACCCCAAGAAATCTTCCCTCGTCCGTTGCGCACGAACAGATAAAGGTGTCCACGCCGCCGGAAACGTGGTCTCTCTAAAACTTATCATTGAAGATGAAGACATCGTACAGAAGATCAATGAGAAGCTTAATCCGCAAATCAGAGTGTGGGGTATCTTCCCTTCAACCAAGGGATTCAGCGCCTACCAGTTCTGCGACTCGCGAATGTATGAATATCTTATACCCACGCATTGCTTCCTGCCACCTCACCCGAGCACGTTCATGGCTCAGAAGATGGTAGAAATGGCGGAGAAGCATGACGATATGGAAGGGTTCAAGCAGAGGCAGGCAGAGGTAGAGAACTACTGGGAAGAGACGGATCAGAAACATATCCAACCAATAATAGATACCCTGCCTGAGAAGATTAGGCCGTATGTTCAAGCTGCCATTGGTGCTGTGGGCGGTGAGTCAGCTGCGATCGATGAGACGACAGCTCCTGCCAGTAAAGAGGGCGAGGACGAGGGCGAGAGTGAACAAAAGACAGACCTCACGCCCGACGAACAAGCCCGCATCAACCTAGCCATCAAAG